TAATTAAAATCATTTGTTGTGTGATTGATTTGAATTTCTTCATTTCATTTCTGTAACACCAAATCACTGAATCTGGGTTCTTTAGCCACACCACCACCTTGGAGTCCCCTTCTATCATCGATTTCTCCACTCCTAAATCTTTTGCAATCTGAATGCCTTGTAGGGCTGCATATAGTTCTGCCTTTAAAGAGTCCATGTCACATTGGTCCTGAAAATATGGCTTTTAAATTTCCTTCCTTGTCTCTCACAGCCCCTCCTATGCCAGACGGACCTGGGTTGCCTTGGCTGCTCCCATCAAAGTTTAGTTTCAGCCAATCTTCAATGGGAGGATTCCAAACCAACCTTGCTTTAATTTTCTGTACTGCACTAAAGGCTATGAAGCTCCAATTCCTCCAGATAACATCAAAAGATAAATATTTGAAGAGGTCCAATGTTTGCAACCAATGTATAACCCTGGTCATAACACACTCCATAATTTGTTGTTTATTTCTTTCCTTCTCTTGGAAGATTCTTGCATTTCTTTCTTCCCATAATTGTCCAGATCACTGCTGCTCTAGTGCATCTCCACATTATTCTTCCCCTTCTCTTTGGCAATCCAAAGGTTGATGGATCAAACAGCATTTTAATCTCCGTTGGCATATTCCACCTACACCCAAAGAAGGAGAAAAACCAATCCCAGATTATTATAGCAAAAGTTTTGGCCAATCAGCTCTGCAAAGTAGTAGGAAAATTAGTTTTGCCACATCAAGGTGCTTTTGTGGATGGGCACCTGATTCTTGACCGCCCTCTGATTGTGAATGAATGTATGGATTCAAGGGTGCAACAAGGTATTCCAAGTGTTATTTGTAAGCTTGATTTGGAGAAAGCATATGACAACGTCAACTAGAGTTTTGTGGATTATATTTTGGGGAGGATGGGCTTTGGTTTAGTTTGGATGAATTGGATCAAGTGATGTATATCTTACCCTTGGTTTTCTATTATGATCAATGCCCAATGGTGATCCTACAGACTACTTCCCAGGGGAAAGGAGTTTGAGACAAGGAGACCCTCTTTCCCCTTTGCCATTCTCTCTAGTTATTGATCCTTTGGGCAGGATGGTGAAGAAAGCTAAAGAAGGGGGTTATATTGAAGGTTTTTCAGTAGGAGAGAATGGTCCAAGTATTCCCTTGTTGCAATTTGCTGACGACACTATAGTTTTCACAAGGGCTAGGCAAGATGATCTTTTTCTAAGGTGTTTGCCCATCTGTTTTGAGGCAACCTCTGGGCTGAAGATCAATTTACAAAAAAAGTTAGCTGATTCCAAATGGAGATGTCCCTCACAAAGATGAGTTAGCTGCTACACTTGGCTGTTGAGTAGGCTCTCTTCTAGGGGTTAACATTGGCTGTTGGAGCCCAACAGCATAGGCTGTTGAGATAGTATCTGGGCTGGGCACGTTCTGGGCAGTTCACCTATTCACGTCCATGCTTTGATTTTAATATAAGTAAATTAATAAGTAATTACTAATTTATCCATTCTCACGGTAACGTGGCATTCCCCGAAATTCTCTCAACAGCATAGGCTGTTGGCCCCCAACAGCTAAAGTTTTTCCCTCTTCTAGGGGTGTAAATGGATCGAACTCGAATGAATCAGGCAATATCCGAATTCGAATCTGATTAGAAAATTCAATATCCGATGGATATAAAAAATTAATGTTTGAATTCAAATTCGACTAAATATTCGAATATTCGATTTGATTCAAGTTGAACCAATTAATTATTTTAGGTAATTAATAAATATATAAAATAAATGTTTTATTTATATAAAGTTGTGAAGAGACTGGGCCGTATGGGCCCTAGCTCATTACAATCTTATTGTTAGTTCTTCCTTGTTTTGTTTCTTGATGGGCCTTTAATTCTTTTTTATGCTTTCTTTAAGCATGTTGATGAGCTGGACACCCACTTAAGGGCAGACTTGTAATTTATTCAATCTTTGTAAGATTAATAAAAGAATCGAGAGATGGAAGAGGAGACCATCGAACCCCTTCTTCTTCTTTCTCACTTCTCCATTTTTTTCTTCTTCTTCTTCTCTTTTGTTATAATCTGAAATATTTTACAGTTTTTTATTGGACTGTATCACATCTAAAGTATATAAATATATAAATTATTTATACAAGTTAATTATATATAAATTATATAAAACATTTGAATATTTTATATATTATATATGAGAATTAAATAATCAGTCGAATTCAGAAATTTATTGAATCATATCCGAATTTGAATCCGATTAGCAATCCTTTTGTATTGGCAGGTATGCTGGAAAAGCTCCTAAGGAATTTTTTGTGAGAAGGTCCAAATGAAGAAAAGAAATTTCATATGGTGGCTTAGGACAAAATTTGTGAACCTAGGGAGAAAGGAGGTACAGGCTTGAGGAAGTTAAAATTGATAAACAAGGCTCTACTTAGTATATGGCTTTGGCGTTTTGGGGAGGTGCCTATTCACCTTTGGAGACAGGTTGTAGGTGGTAAATATGGAACCACACCAATGGAGTGGGAAACTCTTATACCTGTCCAGTCCTATGGCTCTTCGGTCTGGAAGGGAATTATAAATTTGGAGTAAGATTTTGACAAGCATATTCGGCTGAAACTTGGCAATGGTGAACAGATTTACTTTTGGTCCAATGTATGGTGTGATGATCAGGCTCTTTGCAGTTTGCAATCTATTTCCAAGTTTGTATAGCATTGTTGAACAAACAGATTTCTGTTAAAGGAGTGCGCAGAATGGGTAAGCTCCCAGTTGGTGTGGGTACCCAAATTCAGGCGCAATTTGAATGACTAGGAAGTGTTGTTCATTGGATAATTGCTACAAAAGTTGGCTGCTATTCAGCTGGGCCCTACCAAAAAGATTCCTTGGTCTGGTTAAGGGATAAGTCAAGCTCTTTTTCTACAAAATCCTGTTATTTGGCTTTGCTTGGTAAGTTTCAAAACATCTCTTAGAGCTGGATTTGGCGAGCTCAAGTTTCATCATCCAAGATTATATTCTTTGCTTGGGGATAGAATAGAATCCAGACGGTGGATATGCTGCTGAGAAAGTACATGACCCAACATAATGTTTGTTGCCTTTGTCATGAATCCTCAGAGACAGCTGACCATTTGCTCATACATTGCCCCTTTTCCCTGGTGCTCTGGAGCCATTTTCTTAAGCTGTTTTGAAAATAGAGAAGAGGACTGGGTAAATTATTTATATGCTAGCAGTAATTTAGTTAAAAAACACTCTATTTGTTAACATATAAATAATTTACTATTTTACTGCCATTTTTATTTAGGCCATGTTATCAAAAATCAAATTTTAAGTTGTTATTTATATAAATAAATATAGATGTCAGCATAATCGGATCTATCGGATCAGACTTAATTATCTCAATTAATAATCGGGACGGTTCTGGATTTATCATTTTGTCCCGATTAATAATCGAGACGGGACTGGGACACCCTGTCCCAACCCATTGACAGCCCTATGCAGTTGTCAAGGCGACGCCTAGGCGACAAGGCGCCCTTGGAGGCTCGCCTCGCCAAATCACCAAGAAGTTTTCTATAGTGTGTTAGACAAAACCTTTATATTCTTAATTTTTTGAGGTTACAATTTTAAAATAGACATTTTAAACTAAAATATTCATTTTGTGTGTTTATATACTAATTTTTTTACTATTTTCTTATTTGTTAGGGTTTAATCAACACAAACATTGCTAAATGCTGCATTGAACACTAAAAAACTTCAAAACCTGAACCAATAAGTAAGGAAGAACTTAAAATGTTGTCTAACCAACACATTTACTTCTTTTTTTTTTTACTAATTTTGTGTGTCTATACTATATACCAATTTTCTTCTTCCACCTTTTCTTTTCTTCTTTTCCTATAACAGAAATAGGGGTTCAGCCCTTACATTTTTTTAAATTTCTTTTCTTTCTTCTTTTTTTCTCATGAATATGTTGATTTTCTATACTTTTCTCAAGAAAACTATGGATAATTATTAAGGAAATATGATTATGGAGCCTAGGGAACTACCCTAGGATACATATTTTTACTTGAAAAAATCCATCGCCTAGGTGATGCCTATGCCCTCGCCTTGGCGCCTTGAAAACTATGGTATGGAACAGAGGGGTTGGCAGTCAAGAAACATGTCCAAAAATGATTGTAGGCAGAAATGTCTATGCTGAAATGGATGAATGGAAAAAAACTAGAAAGGATAGGGTCAGAAATGAAGCCATTTGAAGGAACCTAGGAGTAGCTCCAATGGATGATAAAATAAGAGAGAGTAGACTAAAATGGTTTAGTCATGTGCATTGAAGACCACCTATCGCACCTATAAGAATACGCAATCTATTACAAGTTGAAGGGGCTAGAAGGGCTAGGGGAAAACCAAAAGGAACATGGTTCTAAGTAGTAAGAAATGATTTAAGTGCTCATAATTTAACAATGAACAATGGCATTAAACAGAATGGAATGGGAAAACAAAATTCATGTAGCCGAGCCCATATAGTTGAGATAAGGCTCAGATAATCTATTTTTATTTCTAAAGCTCTATAAATATGTCTCTGGCACGATACCAGTTTTCTATTACAAAGAAAATGGAACCAAACAAGCCACCAAAATTGGTTAAATACAATAGCAATGTGTTCAAAATTTTCTCAAGATTATTAATGGAAAAGGTTGGAAAAGGATACAGAAAATATACAGAAGACTGATTGCATGAAATATAATAAACATCTATATTCCAATTTTAGTCTCCAAGACCATCAGGCTACTATGGTCCTAACTTTTGGCATTTTTTGCAGAAAGTGACCGCTCTCAGTCTTAAGCCTGCATTGTCAAGCTTGACAGCCTGAAATTTTACCATTACACCAAATAATGGCCTCTTTTTGTTCTAAGTTCGTCTATATTCTATGCTCCTCAACGCATCATGGTTTACAATTGCATGACAAGCCAATACATGATCATTTTAAATATGAAAAAGATACAAACCATAAAAGTGAGAAACAAGTTGCACAGCAAGATGCTCCTGCCTACAATCATCACCACTCTTCACAATAACCTACAGATGAAACAACAAAACTAAAAGTCACATTAATGTGAGAGCGAGAGAGAGAATGATATATATTAGACATAGAACTATGAATCAATAGAGAGCATGCAGAATATTCATAATGAAGAACCATCAAGCATTATATATAACAAGATAAGTGCAGGAATGAGTGACAATAATTAACCAACTAAACTATCTTAGCTTATTTTTTCCTCATTTTATCATCTATTGGGGCTTGCTTGTAAACTATTTTGGTTCTTTCTCGTTCTTTTAAGCAATCTATGTCGCTGCAGTATATTCCAGCAACAAGAATTATCTATTTCCCCCCATTTCTACAATGCTTCCTTGATGTAATCTAATTTCCTGCTTATTCTTTACTGGACAGCTAACAGCATGCCAACTACTTGCTTCCCTATCTCCATTCTTCAGCATTAATCACCAAAATTACCTTCATTAACCACCAGATCTAAAAGTTGTAGGACCCCTAGTTGTCAGCCATCAAACCAGCAGTCCACAAATAGAGAGAGGGAGAGAGAAAGAGAGAAATTCTCCTTTCCCTAAAACTTGAAACTTCAAATCCTTGAAGAATGGAAAGGAAAAGAAACTGAGTTCTCAAGATGCACACACCAACTCCCAAATGTTGTCCCACCCTGTGGGGCTGTGGTAGACATTCCAAATACTACATAACTATAATGACTGAATTAGTCCCAAAATCTAATATCATAGAGTAACATCATGAAATCCACATATAACACATAGGGAACAATGCTAATAAAATGTACTAATTAAAATTAACGACCATTTTTATACTAGCTCCACCAAGGAACTCAAGTCTTTTCACAGATAATGAGATGGACTGCCATCAATCCTCTTTTTAATAAACAACAGTTTGGTATTGATCTTATTGCAATAAAAGCACCAGATGACCAGATTACCAAAAAACTGTACATCTGGGTACCGCAGAACAGCATTATGCTGACCGAAACTGACAGAAAAAAAATATATATTACAATTCAGACCAGGTCCGGCCATCTCCATACAAGGCTGCCATCAATCTTGAACAGCAAGTACATCAACTTTATAAGCTACACTCTTCTTCTTCATTCACTCCACTATCAAATCAGTGTATCATCTGGCTTGCAAAGTTTACAAAAAAGATAGTAGTAAAAAAATAAGAAAAAGATGGGCTGGCAAAGTTTACACTCCATTTTGATTGATTTGTTAATAACCATATAACCCATAGTTCATTAACCTTAAACAGTTTCTACAAGGCCACTTGTTAAAGGAAAAAGTTGATAGAGATTATGAGAGACCAAAATAAATAAATAAATAAATAAAGGCCTTACGGAGCGCAAGTCCCAGTTAGGGGATTTTCCATATACTGAAGCCTTGCATATCCTCTCTTTCTTTACCTCCCAAAGTTCTCCAGCTAAGGCATCAGTTGCCTTGGGTACACCACCATTTCTAACCTGTTTGGTTAAGCATTAAATATTCCATCAGATATGAAATTTCTCAGATACCTTTTTCATCAAATCATACAGAAAAAAATGTGCAGCATGTGCTCACCTTAGGTTGAGAATCTGATGATCTTTGGCCTGCCCCTTTTAAAGGAAGTCCAGGAGGTGTCTCACCCTTGGCCGCAGCAGCCTAAATGGAAGAAAATTTGGGAAATTTACAACCAAATGCATGTTTGCAATAGCTAACATCAATGATTGAATAACACAGGTTCAAGAGATAGAATTTTACAACACAACCATCAAAATAAAACCCCTGTACAATAAGTGGTTGTAATACTATGCCTAAAGTGGCAAACCCTCACCACCTAAGAAAATTTTGGAATTAAATAAAAATAGGAGCACAATACTTAAAACCTGTGTAAGGGCATAGACATGGAAAAGACCACAGGTCTTGTTCAATCCATCTTGAACCAAAACTAAACCATCCCAGACAGGGTCACAAAATAGCAAACCAAGCCAAGCATATAGACAAGTCGCTAACAGCTGTCCACCTATGCTGGCATAGCAAAATGAACAGAAGATTCTCTGTTATTGATAAAAAAAAAATGACCAGAAGATTACAGAAAAATCTTTCTCGTCTACGGAAAAAGAAAATATATAAACATTGAATCCGAATATGCGGAGTGGGGGATCCAAACTTTCTCTCTCTCCTCCCAATCTCTCTTTCCCTTCCACCAACTTTCCCCTTTGCCAGAACCATAGCTGGCCAGATCCCTCTCAAGAGGATGCATATAGAAAGCTCATCACAAGGTCTGGCCACTCCCACTTCTCTCCACCAGTTCACTCCACCCACCAAATCCTCAAACCTTTGGAGGTCTGACCATCATCTCCGCCTTACCAATGGGCTTACAACTTGCTAATGGGTTGTAACCACCTGCATCCCACCCCCCAGCATTCTGTTCCTTTGCAAGTCACACAGCTTCCTAACCAATGCAGGAGCACCAGTAACCTACCCTGGTTTAGACCAATACCCTGACTACTGGCATAGTGCCAAAAATGTACTGAAACGGGAAAGAAATCAAGATAATTCGTTAGGGAGATGAAAATTCAGTTCTAAATCCCCAGAGAGTACTTATCAATTATTGATAATAATGATCAATTACTGGTCAAACATCCAAGTGTCCAACTTACATAGTTACACTGAAATAAAAAGGAAAAGAAATGGGTTCTTAATAGGGAGGCTTGCAGAAAGGAAGTTAAAGGCCAACAGACAAATAAAAGTGACATATGAATGAAAAAAACCTATTTAAATCTAGCAAGATTAAATGCAATTATGAAGACCACTTGTCACTTTTGGCCCCTTGAGTACCTAGGTATGCCGTTGGGAGGAAACCCTAGAGCAGATAGTTTCTGGAAACCAATAGTGGAAAGATTTGCTAAAAAATTAGCATCTTGGAAGAGAAACTGTATCTCTTTAGGGGGAAGAATTACGTCAAACAAATCCACATTAGCTAATCTACCTACCTATTACCTTTCCACGTTTAGAATCCCAGTGAAAATCGCAAAGCAATTAAAAAAATGATGAGGGATTCTTTTGTGGGAGCCAGGAGATGAAAAGAAAGATCATTTGGTGAAATGAGAACAGGTGTGTAAACCAAAGGAGCAAGGAAGCTTGGGAATTGGAAACATGATTAAGAGGAATACAGCTCTCTTAGGAAAGTGGTTATGGCGATTTCCCTTAGAGGAAGACAGATTGTGGCACAAGATCATTGAAAGCGTTCATGGTGTTGCAGAAAATTGCTGGGATGCAAAACTGGCACCTCAGTGCCTCACACTTCTACAATTTTCCCTTGGAAGGCAATCTCTGAGGTACCACCTACCTTAACGAACCGGTCTCTAGGTTCGGCAGGCTGTTGAGGGCCCGGGAATAGGATCTCGTCACGGGTCGGTCCACGGGGAAAACCTCCTGTTTTCCCTTGTAACTTCCTGCTCGTGATGAACCTATCTTGGCACCTTAGGTAATTTGTCCAAGAGATCACCAACTCTCCTAACTCACTCTTGACTGAATAATTTGATATCTCATTCAATAATGATTTGTCCAAGAGATCACCAACTCTCCTAACTCACTCTTGACTGAATAATTTGATATCTCATTCAATAATGGGGTCTCCTTAAATAGGAGATTACAAGAGTCCTAATCAAAGGGAGTCTCCTTGCTGAATAGGGAGACTTCCAGTTTTATCTTGCTAAGGATAAGATAAGCTAATCCTA